ATAGTAGAGTAATTACAGGACTCCAAATGCCATCATCCTATTTTGTTCTTGGCATATTTTATGAAAAGAGAGTGCAGTTATGTTTTATGCAAAAAAAAAAAAGTACCGTGTGTGATAACAGTTTTTTGATAAACATGGCTTAAATTTTAATCACCTGCATGCCAATAACAATAATAATGATGATGAATTAAAGAAGTTCTACAGAGCTTTCATAGTGTATAGATTGTGTTTAGATAATTTGGATATTTAATCAGTCCAATACTGCAAGCAAAACAGCTGATCATGTGAATCAGAAAAAGATTGCTCAAAAATTTTTAGCAAATAATTTGATTTTAGTAGAAAAAGTAAATGTAATAAAATAATTATTTATGGTCATATAATAATACAAGAATTTCACCAAATCATATTATTTACAGTGATATAATAATAATAATAATAATAATAATAATAGTAATACAAGTATTTAACCAAATCAGTGGATAGCAGATTTGCTTTCATAACTTGAAACACTTTTGGCTACCTATAGGATGAGAGTAAAATTGGGGTGTCATTTCATGCTAGTTTTAGAAGTTTAGCAGTAAATGAAGCACCTGTAAAATAAAATACATGTACATGCTAAAAAGGTGACAAAATTAACCTTATAAGTGTTTACTGCTGGGTAGAAATATATCAAAGTCGTACCCAAATCATAGAAATGCACAGAGCTTTCGCATAGTAACTCATTTTTATATAACTGATTTGGTTAAAAATGAATCATACAGATGTATCTCCCCTTGGGGTAAGTGAATAGCACTAGGTACACTATATAATATTATTCACTGCCTATTTTGGGTAGTGGATAATATTTATCAGATGAAAACAAGTTCTTATAAATAATAATTAGAGGAATATCGCTTATCACAGTTATTTGAGGCTAATTTTATTTCCTGTGGTTGATGTTCTGTCCATTAGTAAGGATGTCACATCTACATTGGGAGTGATGTGTACGTGCTGTCATCGTACAACCATTTGCCAATAGTATCAATTGAATCTAGAAAGAGTATATTTGAAGTATACCACTCAAATGGAGTTATGTTTTACCTGTACCAACCTTAGATAATTATGAACCAGCTAGTGTTGACTTGCACTTTCAAACCCAATTTACATTCTTATACACTTATGAATTTAGATAGTTTCACACTGTATGTGCTTTTTATTTAAAGGCATATATTTTGTGGTACGTGCAGTGCCCTACAGAGGCCAATGGATCTTTCTTTTAATTTATCTTGCTTTATATTGTACAGTGTATATTAAAGATAATAAAGTCATTTTATTCTTGAAATTTTGTTTGGTGTCTAAATTGTTTGTCAGTCATTTATGGTACCAAATAAAAATAAGAAACATATGGATAATGATATTTTGATCAAATTTGCTATCTTGAGCGAAAGTGTAAAAAAGTGATATTTTAATCAACTTTGTTTACCTTACTTAAAGTATGGAAAACTGCTATCATGGCAATATTTGCCATCCTGAGCAAAGATACAGAAGAACTGATATTTGATCAACTTTGCTACAATGGGGAAAAGTATGAGAAACTACTGTTTTGATCATATCTGCCATCCTGAGCAAAATTGAGAATAAAGTGGTATTTGGCCAAATTTACTACCCTGAGCAAAACAGTGGCAAACGCCTATTTTGATCATATTTGCCACACTGAGCAAAGATACGGAAGAAGTGATAATTTGACCTCATTTACTACACTGGGCGATACACAAATAAGGTGAATTTTTGCTCAGATTTACTATCCTGGGCAAAACTGTTGAAAAATGAGTTTTGGTCACTTTTGCTACATCGAGCAAAAATGTGGCAAATTACTACTTTGACCGAATTTGCTATACAGAGCAAAAGCATTCAAAAATTCATCTTCGATCGCTTTTGCCCATTTGGGCAAAAACCTGACAAATGTCAGTTTTGCTATCAAGTTTGACACCCCTGTAAATGCCTTGATAAAGTAAAGGTTATCCTTGTTTTTACACACGGGGCAAATTTGAGGCAAATTCGGCATTTACCACCTTTGCCACTAATGCAAAATTATGGCAAAGTTGGTCCTATGTCATGTAGCAAAATTGAGCAAAATTAAGCAAATGTGGCATTTGCAGATGATTTGCTCCAAATTTGCTATAGAGGTAAATCCGTTTTTTCGTCCAGTGTAATTTTTAATTTTCTGTGATCTTAAAATATTACTTATATATTACTCGAGTAGACTGTTCCACTGAGTCTACCATAAGCCCCAGCATGAGAGCTTACTTGTTGGCCTTGCCTCATACGGCAGTAGTCTAGGTCAGATAACTAAGCGAGATTTATTCAAAATGGTGCCCTCTCAGTACGTGGGAGGGGCAATACCGGTTTTTCAGGACAAACCGGTTTGGGGAGGACAGGAACTTGGCCACATTTATTACTGAGCTGAGAATGATGATAAAAGCAAAAAATTTTTATCGAAATAGAATATATAGTACATTTGAAAGGATCAGAATAGCACCATGAAAAATCCTTTCAATTATCTTTATAAAAAGTGTGTTACGTCTCTCCATAAATCGGCCGGTGGACCACACAGGAGAGACGTAGCACACATTTTAAGTAAGGTAAGCTGTTTTTTTATTGAAATCCTTTCACTTTCGTAGGTTACGGAAACGATAGGTTTTTTTCCCATACAAATCCTTATATTTTGAATGTTACGCAACAATGCCGTTGCTCACCGATGCTTATATTTCGAGCTTGGGCTACATGTGATTAATGCCTCTGAAAAAACACCTCAGGTAAAACGTCGGTCCATTTAAAAGTCAAAGTCATCAGTTCTCAACATTAACGATTGATCCTTGTTAAGTTATTGGTTTTTATAATAATACGTCAAAGTTCTCCCTGGGGGTTTTTACTGCAGAGCTGAACTAATTTGTATGTAACGGTGGACTTGTTAACTCGCATAATTAACTGACTACTGGCACGTGAAACGCTTAGACTTTAATAGTTTTCATTTCCTCGAGATAGAAAGCAGAAGGCGGTTTTGTAATAGTCAGGCAGAAATGAAATGGAGAGTTTTAGGTTCCACTTTGTGTATGTGTGTGTGTTTTGTTTATATATCTAAGTTTTAGCGCTAAATAATAAGAAGACATAAGCTAAATAGAAATAGAGAGTTTTCAGCTCCACTTTGTGTACGTGATTTGTTTATATACCCGATTTTGAGCGCTAAAAAAGATATAGTAAGCCGTTTCTCGCGTTGCTAAGTAATCGCTCCCGCTGTTAGTTCTAATAGCGTAGCATACGCCATTGGGATCTACTCATCGGGAATTAAAATAGACTGGATCAAAAGTTCCCATTCTCGGGTCTGGGAACAAGCGTCCAATAGAGCTTGAAGCTCATCAGCGTTGGTAATAAAACCCATGGTGATAAAAAGTTATTAAACGTTTTCTCAAACACACGAACTCGAACAAATTGCTTCCTAACAAAGCGATTGCAAGAACGATAGCGCTTTCGAAATCTACCCGCTTTTATTTTGAACAAATCATACGTCTTACAAGAGCCAATCAAGGTTAAAAGGGACGGGGCAAGTCTATTGTGCCTATTGTAGTGGAGAAACGCTCATTACAAATGGAAGAAGGCACGTAATTAGTTTGGAGGAACATATTTTTACCCAGCTAGCTAGACACTGTCTAGGCACATAATTAATAGGCAGAAGGGAACTAAATTTGTATGCAGGAAGACCCTTACTCATATTAATATGAGAAGGGAAGGCATACGGAAGGCAGGGGAAGGTAACAAACAGGAGTAAAATAACCCTATATCACTACTATGATAATTATGATTATTTTTCCTTTTAAAATTTCTTAACTATGATAAAGTGGTAAATTTTTCAAAATTAAGTCTTCTTTTTCCTAACTTCTTGTTCATTGTCTAAAACAGCTTATTATTCATTCAAGTGACCGATCCCGTGGCCATGAATTTTATACTTAAAACCCTTTAAAACTTACCTGCCCGTTGTTAGAAGAATTTCTAGCTTTACAGACTGTCTTAAACGAAGCAACTTGCTATAAATGGCCCCTCTGGATTATGGCCGCTCTCCAGGAACCAAATTTTCAGATGTTACCATTTAAGGGGAACTCCGCCCCTCTGAGCATATTCCTTGATATAATTGACAGAATGGCTAGCGGATGCTTCTGCTTAAAGTTAATTTATTAGGAAAGACTGTATTACATACGAAATCGGCCAAAATTTCCTATCAAAATATTATTAGCAAGGGTTTTCTAATACATAAAGAGACAAAAAGCAATGAAGATGAAAACATTTGACGTTTTGGCGTCGTCATGAAGCCATTAAATTTTTACTATAAACTACCAGGAAGTTGGCTGAAGATCAAGGAGTAAAAATTAGTCAATGTGACACAAATATTTTGGCTCGAATTGAGCCCAACTGGACATTAAGAGGCATCGTCAGTTCCCTAATTAGCAACATTTCGTGCAGTAAAATCGACCCTTGTTTTTCAACCAATTTCAATATGTACAACTCTTAAGAAAATAAATAATATGATATAATGCAAACCTTAAGAGCTGTATAAAGTTCATGGATTTAACCACCACCTCAAAATTGCCAAAGAGAAATACGTTGATTGAATTTTTGAAACTTTCTACAAATTCAAAAGTGAGCAATTCTAATAGGAGTCTCCCCACCCTCCTCAGTCTATTAGCTAAAGCTACCTGCGAGTTAGTCTCATTCGTAATATTCGCAATCGGCACTTGTTCCACAAATGCGGCCCTGCTTCCTGAATTGCGCGGCCGCCCAGTGTTTCCATCATCCTACTTTTAGTAAAACGCCTCAGGTGGAACTAAGATTATACAAGGACCTATAATTCAAAGCTAGAACATTGCTGATATGTGCAGTCGCGAGGCCGTGAATGGCTTTCAAAATTAACAATAGCTAGAATCTTGAAATGTATGCGCGTTTGCACTGGTAGCAAGTGTTACTCCGCGTATAGTACTAGAATGATGTGAGAATACGTCCTAAAACCATTAATAATCGAGTAGCAGCATTTTGCACGCGTGGCAACTTAGCTATTTTTTCTTTGGGGAGGCCCATACAGTAAGCTTTAATTTACAGTAATCTATACGGCTCGTGTAGAAAGCCTTTACAAGAGTAAGTACGCTGTCCCTCGATAAATACTTCTTACCAACTATTTGTTTGACCTTGCATAATTATATACGTTAATCGTTAGGCAGCTATTTCTGATAGCTTAGTTTCAACATTGTGAACTTGAAATTTAGCGTCATGACGACACTGAGACGTCGTTCGTTCGTATTATCTTGTTTGTGTATCAAAGAATCATTTTTTTAAAAATACTTTGACTATTCTACAACTTGACGAGCAGCAAAACTACTTGACGTTTGCACAGTTGATCTAAAGAAACAACTTTTAATTCGTTTCCTATAAGAACTGAATTTGATCAGCCCGGCTAACATTCTTGTGCTCTTACTTGGTGCCTTAGTAACACAATCATGACCGTATCGTGAATAACCGAGTGTCAGGATCTATTTCTACTGACTGACGCGAAGTAACTAGACGCAGCCTTAAGACCACTGTCATTGATATCTCACCATGCAGTTAAAAGCCGCACAAAGACCGAGAAACCTCAATATACTCAATATACTGATTCGCTTGTAAGGTGAAGTGTGAAATTCTCAACCACATGCAGCTGGGATAAAAAGAAAGCTGCATACAAATGACCAAAATTGATAACAGCGGAGCTCTCGCGCACCAAGCGCGAGGAGCAGAGCGCACCACAGGCATACCAATGTAAAATAACTCAATCAACAGGTATGGCAACCCAAATGCAACTCGAGTTTATTTTGACGGGAAATCGCATAGCCACCGGCGTCTTGTGAAGCAGAGACAACTAAGAGTCGAAAAGCGGAAATTGTCTCTGTATCCGTATTTTCTAAAGTATTAAGCTCAGAATAATTGTCATGTCCACAAATTTGGAATATAGAGCAAGAGAAAGACAGAGAAAAAGAGAAAGTAGGCCACAGGCCAGCGAAGCTCAACGAGAAATAGGGCGTCAGAGATCTAGAACGAGAGATGAAAAACAAAGGAGACTTTTTTTTTGTTAGAATTTTCTTCCAGCAAAAGCGGCGGTGACAAAATGAGAAATGCCAGCGGTCACCAATGCAAGGTGAAATTGAGCGGCAGTGAGAAAAAAGTGAACGAGAAAACGTACGACATTTCCTCAATAAAACGTGTGACTAAGAAGTTTCAGTAAGTTTCACGTTGTAGTCCTGCAAAATAACTGCAAAGAAATGTACAAAAAAAAGTGTGCTGCACGTGCAAAGTTGCTTTTTTGCTAATTAGACCTATTGTTGTCTTTCATCGTTCTCCGGCGTTGCCTTCGCCGCTTAGCATTACCAGAGTTTATATTTTGTTTGAACAAACTATAAATATTATCGAGAGCTTCGCTCTTAGTCCTGGCGAAATCTATATATTAAGATACATGTATATCTGTTTAAAATTAGTCAAATATCTGCCATTTTTGGCAGTGATTTGCAATCCATTTGTTTGATTTGCACGCGCAGACGTTCCCGTTCTGTTGCTAAATCAGCCTATTAAGGCGCTCGCGACGTTTCAACATGCCACGTTTTAAAACCGACCGATTTAAGAATAGCTTTATTATCTTTTCATGTCTTAAAGCAACTAACTTATAGGTTACAGTTTTCGAATTTCGCAGCTTGTATTTCGATAACTTTTTTTAGCATCTCATCTCTTGTTAGCTTTTTTATTCCTTTCAATTAACATAGATTAGTTAATGTTTAGATCTATAATATAACTTTTGTAACGTAAATAAGTAATTCAGCTTTCGAACTGCTATGTACAATTATGAATTAATAAACTTCAAACTTCAAACTTCACACTTCACACTTCCGGTAGTTCGTTGAGTCCATAGGGGTCCAGAACAAAACTGAACAAGGCCTATTGGCGCTGCTTCGTAGACATTAATAACCGGGGTTAGATTACGTCTGGGACGCATGTAATAAAGACCAAACCTCGTAGGATGTTTACCAACCGCGGCAGGATTAGCTCAGTCGGTAGAGCGATTGATTGCAGAGCGTAAGGTCGCGAGTTCGATTCCCGGGATCGGACCAATACTCAGGGTCTTAAAATAACTGAGACTAGGGTCCCGAATAAGTACTTTCGTGCTAAATACCTTGACACTCAAATGAATTGCATTTTTTTTAACAATATTGACTTCCTCAAATTATGTTTTATCGTTGTTAGGTTGATGTCTACAGCTTTGGTGCTCTTCTTTGCGAAATGTGCATCCGACAACTTCCAGATCCTCAGAAGCGTAACGAACAAGTGGTGCTTGTAACGAACAGTGTGTTTCGTGGTCTGGTGCGGCGATGCATGCAAATAGAGCCTGGGGCGAGACCAACCATGCAGGAGATAATCGATGAACTGAAGGAATTCGATCCTATTTCTTAATTGTAAAATGAACGGTATGCAATATGATTGAAAATTCGCAGTTTTTAGGAACTTCCTGCTGTTATTTAGGCTCGTAATTTTAAATTAAATTACTCGCCTGATTACTCCTTGAATTGTACTTAACTCAGTCCTATTACCTGTGCTAATTTGTAATTTTTTTTAGTCTGGTATTCGTACTAAAGAATACGTAATTACATAACAGTGAGGTATGAATAGTGGAGAATACAATTTACATCCAGACAAAAAGGTTATTGCAGTTAAAAGCGTGCAATACGGAAACAAAGTACTAACTAGGTAGATGTAAGAAGAATAAAATTTAGTAACTTAGTTAGGTATCGATATTTGTAGTTGATATTTTAGCGTCAAATTGTTGGCTATTTGTCCCTTTTGCGCAAGACTTGCTTTATATTTTAGTAAATAGGTCGCTGAATAATTGTCTTTTGAAGATTTAAGATTTTTTCGGAATCGTGCGATTTTCGAGTGGCACAGCCGTGACCAGGTAATGCAACTGGTAATTGTTTTCTGTAACTCATACATGCATGATGATTATATAACTGTAATGCGCATGTCATCGGCTTCCCCGTGGGGGGCATGGGGTAGGACTCCTGGCCAACTAGCGGGATTCTAAAATCAGCGGTGCAAAGTTAACAATTTCCCCCAGGGATGGGGGAATTTGACAAGGCAAAGTCTCCTGGGTCAAGTGCTTCTCAATGAAAAATCCCCCTGATATCACCTGAAAAAAACTGGGCTTCACTTGATTGATTCACTTTGATTTTAATTATACTAGTAGTCTTCTTAGCTGACGAAGTTTGTTGCGCACGACTGCTAACAAGGACCACAAAAGCACCCGTGAAATGAATTTGGCTATAAAGCGGCAAGAAGAATGAGGGAATTCCTTAAACGCGAACTCACGATCGGGCAATGTGATCCCGCCAGCGACGCTCTCTTCAGTAGGAACAAGGACAGTAGTGTTTACATTAACAAGTGATATTCGGACTACACATCAAAGCAATGCGCGTTCCCGCAAAATTTACTCTTTGTCAGGTAACCTTTCTTGCTTGTTTTTCAGTAATTTGTTATGAGAAATGACCAGTTCTAACGAAGAATAAGAAGGATGGCCTACAAGGAGAAGGAGAAGGAGAAAGTAGAGATAGAAATTTCAATGATCTATCATTGATCAATTGGAGCATTTTTTATTGTAACTTTATGGTAACTGTACTTTCGTCAGTAGAACATGGATGCAGTGACTGAACCATGTGATTGGAAAAAAAACTCTTGCCTCCAGTACGACCCATCTCCGCATAAAACAATTGACCGGGGAGCTTAAAGTACAGGCTTATACAGCTATTTCGAGACAGGTTGTCGGAAAACTGTGCACGCGACAATCCCGAAAGGTAATATGGGATACGATCAATACACTGTTCCTGACACCGTAGCTGTTGAACCTACTTAATTTGTTGCTTTCCTTCAGCACTCGCAAACATATGTTCATGGCCTCTCGTGCCTGCATTCTCTCAAATTTCTTTGAAGAACAGTGAACTCAAAACCGCCCATAATACCTTTCGGGATTGTCGCATGCACTTTTTCCGACAACCTTTTTCGAAATAGCTGTATACTTATGGCATTCTGTTGTCAACAAAGTTTTCTGCTGCCTGTTTATAGTCCGGCGGCTTAGCAAGAAAATTTTAAGTGAATTGTGCACTTTTAGTTACAAGCATGAAATTTGGCACACTGATAGTTGTCACCAAAACAAGCAATTTCGGATATAGTGCCAAGCCGGAATTACGTCGGTTTCCATAGAAACCGCAATTTATTAAAATTCATAAAAAGCTAATAAATTCAATTCATTTGAATTATTTGTCCTAGTTTATCAAGACATAGTATCATCAGTCAACCAACCTGTTTACCACGTACATCTTCTTTATAACACGCTATTGCACCTCAACTATGAGATGCCATGGCAACGGTAAACAAAGGAAAACTAAAAATACAACGACTGAATAAGATTAGTGTACCTTTAGTTGGTTTGATCATTATATGTATTACAACTTGTATATTTGCACATAGCTTCATTACCTAATTGATTTCACATTTTCGTTACGGAATAAACTTGAGGTGATTCTCTAGTTTTGCCGCTGTGCATCCCTCATTGCGTATAACAAGATGGCCGCCATGAAAAGAGCTTCTGCCGAAACATGATTAGATTTACGCCGATCGAAGAGAAACGTTATTGGAATTTTCCATCGCAGTTTTTCTCTGGCTGAGATGAGTCTCAAAGTGTTGGAAATGCGCCTTATGTAAGCGGTAAGTGTGTTGCTGAGTTAAACCTCAGCTACTTCCTCACCGAGGCCTTCGATCTCGGTAGCCTGCGCAGCTGGCGGTATTGTGTGATTAGGAAACTTAAGATGGAGACGTTTTCGGGGCGACGGCAACTTTAACCGGACGTGTCGTCATGATTTGTGCAATATTGCGCATGCTCTTTCTCACCACATTGCCGTCGTGCTCCCGTCGGCGACGTGAAACTGATCTGTTTGGCGTTGTGGCGAGAACGTGAGTATTTAACTTTCATTTCAATCAGGTTTGTTGTGTTTAGCAACCAGAATTTGCAGATTATCGTTCTTAAATTGTCCTCGTTCTCTTTGAGTTACATTTCAAGCTCGATTTCCAAGCTCTGTTATCTAAACTTGCATCTTTGTAATGTTTCTATGTTTCATGTCACAGAGTCAAGATCCCAATCTGATCCAATAAGACAAACAGCAAACCGTAAGTGAGCTTAATATGGACAAAATTGTCTTACGAGCCAAATGAAAGTATCCAGACAAAAAGTATGAACTCCGATATTTGAATGGTGTGTTTTATCTCACTTTTTTCGTTAGAGTATCCTATAAATGAAACGGTATTGAAAATTGTTTAGTATAGTAGGTAATACCACATACTAAAGTGGGAATACTGAAATAAAGTTGTTGTTGTTGTTGTTATTGTTGTTGCATGCAAGCAAATAAGTATTAATTCTCTTAAATCTTTATGTGAAGCCATATTTTCCTCTTCGGTAGTCTTCCAAGGCGCCCTCCTCCTCAGTTCACTGCGATCTTAATGTTCGAATTTTGGAGGGAAGCGACGGCTACCTCTGTTCCAGGCTTGCTCTGCCAGTCCGGTCGCCGTCGCCCCGAAAACGTCTCTATCTTAAGTTCCCTATTAAAGTTTTGGCGGCGGAGCCGCGATCCAAAAAAAGGAGTGGGGACGAGGCATTTTTCTCGCGGCTTCGCCAAATCTCACTCGACTAGTACACAATACCGCCAGCTACGCAGGCTATTGTGAGGAGGATGTTGTGCTGAACCACTTTCATGAACTTATGTCCTAATTACCTTATCTCGATGTAAATTCCATTTTGAAAATCGAATTTTTCGATGCTTTCTTTCACCTTCCACGTCCATGCCGCTTTGAAACTCGCCCCAATGTTTTCTTTTCTTTTTTTAATATAACTTAATAACGTCTTTATTTAAAGTCTTGTCCTGCCTAGATTAGCATTATCGCTATTTGCAAACATAAAGTATTGTAACTTTTTATTTCTTTAAATACTGAATTATATTATTGTTGTTGTTGTTGTTGATCAGTATAAACCGTGTCAAAGTGTGTGCTAATACTTAAATTGAGGCTTAAAATCCCACGGCTACAACTAGATTACAACAAAGCTATTAAAAAATCTTTGAAAAGTGTTTTTAAACTTTGTGGAAACAAATAACGGAACTTGACGTCGTAAGTAACTTCGATTGCGCGCGCCAGAATTGCTTTCGATCCTTAGAAACAAGTAACCAAGGAAACAAAATCATCCAAACAAATAACAGTTCAGTTTCAACTGGTTGAGGCCAAGAAGAGAAAATTTCAAGACAATCAGATAAATTCAATCCTAAACAAATTAAAGAATCTCTAACCTACTTTTGAATGAAAAGTTGACGCAGTAGTTTGGTAACTTAAAGACAAAAGCAAAGTTAGCCTGGGAAAATAAAGATTTTTGCGAGTGCCCTGTAGTTTTGCTACAAGCTTACGCCATCGAGGAAAATAACGCGAAGAGAGCGGATGTGAAAATAACACAAGTTTTACCTTCTTCGCTGAAATTTCCCGAGGCAGTCGAAGTTCCTAACACTGTTAGGAGGAAAATTATGTAGATTAAAAACGTTTTCATTTTCTCAAGAATAACCTTTCTCTTTCCAAAGCACAACACGACTAAACTTGTTTAGCGACGTGGAACGATAAAAAACCCGACGTCCTGCGCGCGTAAAGTTTGTAGAACACTTGTTTATACTCCTATGTATTGCATTACATTGACATCAATTGCAACTGTTCATTTTGTTAATAACAATGACACGTGAAACGTTACTCTAAAGGCTAAATTTACACTAGAGTCGATTTTTCCGGATTCGTCAAGAATATGGAAATTTCAGATTACCGCGTCGGATTCGTTATAGATCGTCGTTCACATGCAGATTCCAGACGCGGGGCACTGCCTGAACTTATTCGGCCCTGTAAGTTTATTTGTACCGGTGAACAGGGTATGGTTTTCTTTCACAAACTTGAGTCTTAAACAGGGCATACAATTTCACTATTAATTTATAAATCAGCGTTCTCGAAGAGTCGAGTGTCTTTTTGGACCGGAAGCGTTTCTAAAGAATGAATGCGACGCCTTGCGATGAGTTTTAAATCTCCATATGTGCAACAAACAATTTTTATTCCAAAACATCTAATTCCATAATGTTTTTTTGGGAAAATATTCGATTCATATACAAAAATAAAGAGATGAATTAGGGGTCATAAAATAAGTGCCAGCCTGCGGCAGCAGGCGTTTGGAGAAGGGAAAAGGAGTTTAAAAGAAACGCGAGGACAGGACCTTGCTCCCCCTCTCGCACCTAAACTCCTTTCCTTCACTTTCAAACGCCTGCAACACAGACTAAAAATAGGGTCTCTTTTTCTTTAAACAGGGTTGCAAATGAACGATTTTGTCT